GCCTGTCAGCGGGGGGAGGGGCGCGCTGAGGCCCCGGGACGAGGACCTGGCAACAAAGCAGCCTCTGTGGCAGTGGGGGAGGCCTCCTGGGTGCATGCAGAGCCTAGAAGGGGAACGTCTGAGTCACTACCCTGAACCCTGACTTAGCCGGGAGAACCCACGTCAGAGAGGCCAAGCCCCTGTGCCCTCTGACCCCGGGATTAACAGGGCTGCCTCTGTCGTGCTCTGTGCTGAACTGCCCGGCCTCCCCCAGCTCTTGCAGCCCGGGACTTGTGTTTAAAGCAAGATTGAAAAGAGCAGGGCAAAAACAGCTTGGGAGGGGAAGTCAGCAAACCTTTTGTCCCCACCTGGCCCGAATGGTTAGCCAGGCCGAGCGGGTGGGAGGCTATTTTTGAGCTGACCTACATACCTGTTTGCCTCTTTATCTTTTTATTATCACACGCGGTCATTATGGGCACTTTTCTTTCGCACCCTTGCAGCTGTGGTGTTTGCTGAGGGCTGCACAATGAGGCGCGTTGCCTCACCGGTCCTGGAAGTTTTGAAGAGTGTGTGACCTGGGCAGGAGGACCAGCAGCCTGCCTGCAGAAGCTTCCCCAAGCTCTTCCCACGGAGCAGTAGCCCGGCCCTGATGCCAGCTTCACGGATCCACCTCCATTCTCACCCTGGAGGGCAGAGAAGTCTCAGATTTTTTTGTTTTTGAGACAGGGTCATCCCACACAGTTCAGGCTGGCCTAGACTCAATATGTAGCCCAGGCTGGCCTCAAATTCACAGCAATTCTCCTGCCTCTGCCTTTTTGTTTTGGTATTGGGGATGGAACTCCTCGGACTTTGCCTTGGAGGCAGGGGAGTCAACCCTGAGCTAAATCCCCACCCCGTACTGGGAATTGAACCCAAACCTTTACACTGAGCCACACCCCTAGTCCCTTTTTCTAAAATTTTTGAGACAGGATTTTGATTGAACTTGAGATTGTCCTTCCTCACTTTCCCAGGGTGCTGGGATTGCAGGTGTGCACCACCAGTTGAGTCTCAGACTTGGTGACAGTGCCTCTGGGTTTTGCTGAGTGAGTCCTAGAGTTCTAGGCCTTGCCCAGATTGATCTGTCCTGAGATGGGCTGTGAGCAGGGCTGCTTTCGGATTTACCTCAGATTGTACAGGCCCCTATAGTAGAAACCAGGAGAGCTGGCAAGTTTCTGTTTGTTTTACCTTTGCTCAGCCTCTCCAGGTCCTCCCTCTCCAAACCTTTTTAATAGCTCTCCATTGCCTCTGGGGGAGTCTGGCTGCTGCTCAGCCTGCAGGCCTTGGCCCTGGCCTATCTGTAGCTTCATCTCCCTCCCACGACCCAGGAGGGGGAAATCACATACGGTTCTAATTACCTCGGAAACGCTCTTAAATTTTCCATAAAGTACAGTATGCCGGGCTTTGTATACACAACTTTACACAGTAATATGCATGTAGATGTGCAAAATACACACAGCCACATAAGGACCATAAAGAAGACACCAGCCAGCATAAGCATGTAATTTACAGCATTTAATCACACTGAAGAGAGGCAGACACAGACCGGGACAAGACTGAGGGAGGCAGCAGCAGATTTCTGACCTCTCTCATCTGTTCCCCAGCGAACCTCGCGGCCCTTGAGCAGGCGTGAGGGAGAGGGGGTGACGCCTGTGCACATTAACACACCCTCCCTCCACACTGTGCTGTCCCCCATCGAGTCCTCTGTGCCCGGGTTCCCGTGTCCTGTGAGATGCCATTCTGTTCCCTTCTGGCTTATTCTGCGCTTTACCCCCATAGCTGTGGATTCCACCAAGTACAGATCCAAAAAAATCCAGACACAAAAATAACATCTGTGCTGAGCAGACCCAAAGAGCCCACCTATTCCCCTAGCATTTACGTTGCATTAGGTATCCAAACGGATCAGAAGAAGATTTAAAGTATATGGGCTGATAGGCATAAGTTACACACACATGCAGTCTACTTTTTGTTTTGTTTTGTGCTTCAAGACAGGGTCTTGCTATGCAGTTCAGGCTGGCCTTGAACTCACTGTGGAGCCCAGGCTGGCTTCAAACTCGGGTGATCCTCTGGCTGCAGCCTCCTGAGTTCTGGGATTACAGGCATGTGCCTCTGAGCCAGGCTCAGAGCTCACAAATTTTATTTTATTATTTTTTGGGTACTGGGGAGGGTCCTTGTGCTTGTGAGGCAGGCAGGCAGAGGAACCACTGAGCTAAATCCCTGGCCCAGAGCTCGTGTATTTTAAACCTTTCTCCACCCCCACTACGACCAACGGCCCATGAGCTGCAATGCCAGTGTCAGATGTGTACAGTATATGCTTGGCGAGTACTTGGCTGAGAATTGAACGGATCTGGAGCCCACTCCTGACTGAGTTCAAAGTGGAATCAGCACTGACCTCCGCCAGGCACTGGGAAACCCTGCTTCCTCTGAACTGGGATAGTGCCAATTACACAGGTATTGAGTATTACAGTCCCAGAAAGTTCAAGCTGCAAGTGGGGGGTTCCCCTGGTTCCCTGCAGGAGGCTAAAGGGGAAGTGGGCCAAGCAGAACAGGAACCACACCCCGCAGTCAGCTGGCGTCTCTCCACCCTGCCTCCTCAGTGTCTCCGTCTCCGAGTGAACTTTCGATCCTCCAGCCTCAGCCTTTGGGTGGATCACAGTGACCAGAGAGGAGCTGTTTTCTTTGAGAGCATTCACCCCACTTGTAATGATTACAAATGCACTCACCTATGTGTGTTTAATGCCTGATTTCCCCCACTTACCGGAGAGCTCCAGGAGGCCGGGGACTCTGTTTCATCCTGGGTCTCCCAGTGCCCAGCCCACAGGGTTCCCTATAAACGTAAGGAAAAGAAGGGAAGAAGGAACCAGTGTGGAGGTACACGCCTGTCATCCTCAGGTGGCTGAGGCAGAAGGACGTCTGTGAGTTCAAGGTCAGCCTGGGCTCTGTCGTGAGACCCTGTCTCAAAAACAATACCAAAAAATAAGACAGTTAAGTAGTGTATTTTGGTACTGGGGATCGAACTCAGGCCCTCTGCACTTGTGAGGCAGGTAACAGAACCACTGAGCGAACTCCCCAGCCAGAGTATATTTTGGAAAGATGTCCAAGACCCACTATTAGATGAAAAAAAAATTGCAGAACAATTTGTGTACTGTAATACCATTCTAAAAGAAAAGGAGAAACCAGGCGTGGTGGCCCACGCCTGTAATCCCAGCACTCAGGAGGCTGAGGCAGGAGGATCGCTGTGAGTTCCAGACCAGCCTGGACTACATAGTGAGTTCCGGGTCAGTCATGACTACATAGTCAGACTCTGTCTCAAAAAACAAACAAACAAAAAAATAAATAAATAAAAGGAAAAGGAGAATATTCCCTTGTACACACACCTTTTTTCTTTCTTTTCTTTTCTTTCTTTATTTTTTGAGATGGGGTCTTTCTATATTGGCTAGACTGGCCTCAAATTACAGATCCTCCTCGGCAGGGGATTTAACTCAGTGGCACAGCACCTGCCTTGCAAGCACAAGGTCCTGAGTTCAATCTGATACAAAAAAGAAAAAAATTCCAGATCTTCCTGCTTCAGCCTCCAGAGGGGCTAGGGCTATAGATGTGTGCATAGGCACCCCAGACGCCTAGTCTTAAATGTACTGAGTAAACATCTAAGATTCAGGAGAAACCGCTCAATTATCTCTAAGGGTGAGGTGGAAGGAGGGAAGGAGGAGGCTTTTACTTTTACTTTATACTTTCTACATGGCTGGATTTTTACCATGAGCACATAGTACTTGCACTTTTTTTTTTTTTTTTTTGAGACAAGGTTTTGCTATGTAGTTCAGGCTGGCCTTGAACTCACTGTGTAGTCCAGGCTGGCCGCAAACTCATGGAGATCCTCCTGCCTCAGCCTCCTAAGTGCTGAGATTACAGGCCACTATGCAGGACTCACAATTTTGTTTTGTGTTTTTTTTTGGGGGGGACAGTATGGAGACATTGTAACCCAGGTACTCAGACACTAGGCAAGTGTTGTTCAGCTGAGCTGCATCCTCGATTTGGTTTTGGTTTTGGTTTTTGCTTCCACTGGATTAGGGGATGGGTAATGAGGTGGCTTAGGCTTTGGAGCAGTAGAGGCCCAATAAGAAGAATTGCAGGGCTCGAGATTGCTACCTGCCTCACAAGTCCAAGGAACTGAGATGGGTTCGTGGTACAAAAAAAAAAGAAAAAGACGAAGCATTGCAGAGGCAGGTGTAGTGATGAAAGCCTGTGATTCCAGTACTCAGGAGGTTGAGACAGGAAGCTCGCCAGGATTTCAAGACCAGCCTGGGTTACATAGCGAGGCCCTCTCTCAAAAAACAAAACCAAATCCCCCAAAGAACCATTGCAGGGTGGGGGACACTGACAGATTGACAGGCTGCAGGAACAGGTGGCATTTAGAGAGATAGATGTGGGAAGAAGCACTACACAGCGCTGGGGACAGCTCACGGGAGGGGGACCCTGGGCTGGGGAGACTGACATATGGGGAAGAAGAGCGAGGAAGGAAAAACGCCGGTCTTTAGGACATCAAGGCCCCGCGTCCCTCAGCGTCCAGGGTACAGAGCGTCCCGGGAAACAAACAACGGGCAGGGGGTGGGGGCGGGGCGGC